CGGCTCTGAAAGTGTTTGTTTCCGCGGGGGGTGGGCCCCCGCAGGCATCGCCGAGGCCAGACAGCGGCTCCCCCAGCCTGTGTGTGTGTGTGTGCGAGAGGCGGAGAGGAGGGAAGAGGCGAGCGCAGGCTGGCGGAGCCGGGAGCGGCTGCAGCAGCCCAGCCTGAAGCGAGCGCGGCGGGTGGGGGGTGGCTGGGGCAGCAGCAAACAGCTCGGGGCCCGGCCGCCCCCTCTGCTCCCGGAGGCTGCCCACCAGCTCCTGAGCGGCCCCAGCCAGGCCAGCTCCGCGCCGGGCGGGCAGCGCAGCGCAGCGCAGGCGGGGGTCCGGCCGGCCGGCGCGCTCCATGGGCTGACTCCCCGCGAGAGGGGGCGGAGGAGCGGCAGAGCGGCCGGGGATGGTGAGCAGGAGGCTGCGCTAGCCCGCTTAGGCCCTAGCGCCGGAGCCGGAGGAGAATCCGCCCGCGGCCAACCCCCATCGCCGCCTCTGCTAGGGCTTCTCCGCTGCAGGCGTGTAAGTGCCCCGCTCCCCGGGCGCGGCGGGAGGAAGCGCCGGGGCCTGCTCCGCCCGGCCAGCCGGGGCCGGCCCCTGGCGCATTGCGCGGGGCGCACGCCGGGGATGGGGACGGGGGGCTGGGGTGTGCGACTCCCCCGGCGCGCACAGCGACCCGCCTGGGCCTCGGCTGGGGGTTAGCGCGCGGCGGTGGTGGCGGCGCCCCGCCGGGGTTAGCCTGCAAGGAGGAGAGGTGGCTCGGGGCTGGCCCCCTCCAACTTACTCCCTTTCTTCGCTCTGCCTGGGGGCGGGGGGTTAGCGCTTTGCTAACAGGAAGCTGCTGGCTGTGCTGGGAATCCGCACATGAAAGTGTTTGTGAGTGAAGCTGCTGGGGTCTCCCACCAGCGGAACGAGCTCTGGGCTGGATCCAGCCCGGGATCTCCTTCCTTGAGCCCCCCACATCCCTCCAGATGCATGGGTAGGAGCTAGGTTGGCTCTTTCTTCGAGCCTTGCTTGTTGGATTCCTTGGCAATAGGAGCCCTTTGGTTTTCACAAGCCTTTATGTGTGTCGGCGGATATTGCCATGTTTTTAAGGCTGTTGACTGCTTATAATAGGTTTCTAAGGCTCCCCAAAAGTTATGACTCAATTTAGGGTAGAACTGTAACTAATATAATCAAGTTGGTTTCCCTCCTGCCCACCTCCAACTTCTGTAATGACTGATTTGTTCCTTGGAGACTTCTAGCACCTTCACCTCACTTCAACTTCATTGAAAAACACTGTGTGTATGTGGGTGTTTCCTTAATCTGACCTGTGTATTTTGGACTTGTTTATCATAACCAATATGGAGATGCATTAGAAGTTTTGATATGGTGCCATTGGTACTCATGTGGTTGTAGCCTTGTTAACATTTTTTGCTTAGGTGAAGTTTAACAGTATTTATTTCCCTTTCCCAATATATAAGAAGCAAGATTCCTTAGTTTGTTTATTTGTCTTTACATCATTAAATGAACATACATTTTAAAATGCAGTGTTTAAGGGGAGTTGCTGGATTAAGTATACTATAATATTTTTTACAAGTGAAAAATATGTGTTGTGTAGCTACTAGATTACTTTATGTAACTGTTAATTTCATAGTGACAGCCAGGATATTTACCATGACACAGTAGTATGTATGGATTTAAAGACTTTGCCACTACCTTTCACTTTTTGAATAGGTGGGCTTTCGTTGTTTTGCAAATATTGCACACAAATTCTTGAAAGTATGCAGTCACTAATTAAAAGTGTCCCAATTTATTATGTAGTACCTAGAGCTCTAGCATTCACGTGCAAGTTAATAATATTTGCTAGAAGTAATTTAGTTGAGAATTAAATGGATTTATGATGTTTTATCTTTACAAAGGATGGAGCAAACCATTTGTTTACAAATGTGTTCCCTCTGATTCCATTGTACAGTCTCCCGACTCTATATGCTCATATAATTTAAAACTTGTACAAGAATTTTATAAACTATAAATTGGCTTGTTTCTCACTTGAAGGGCATAATAAAAATGTAGGGGTTCAGGAGAAGCTGTCCCCCTTCTGCACCCACAGTCAGTTTTACCCTGCTTAGAGTTTGTCCACACTACAACCAGAAGAGATAGGAGAGCTAAACTTGTGTAGCCCTCCCACTCCACACCTTGAACAGAATTATCACCCCATCTGTTGGTTCTTAGACCATTAAAGACATGAGAGCAGTAAGCATTGCAAACTGCAGCTTGGAAGTCTAGATTAAGTTTATGGAGTCACAGAAAATGGAACATGTGTTTTGCAGTTTTCTTTTTCTCTCAACTTGTGATTATATTGTAGCTTGCAGTATCTGGAAAATCTTTCCCAAGCCTTATCATAAGCTCCATGTATAATGATGACAAAATACCTGTTTTGACATGGTGGTGGCTTAAGTGGAACATCATCTAGACTAATGGAGAACATCAGTAATCACACACAATTGATGGCCCACAGCAGGATTTTCAAAATTAAGCTGAGATATAAAGTTGGTTGTTCATTTTCTGCTTTCTTGAAAATTGGTCATTAGGATTTGATGGCTGTGGGTCGGCTTCTGCCTCCCCACATCTGCCATGGGTATAGAGCCTGTGAACACAGTGGAATTAGTGGTTCGTTCTTATAGAAATGATGGTGGAATTTGTGGGGCTCTAACACACAAGTCAAGGCAGAGATAAAAGGGTGAGGCTGGAGGATCTTTACTGCTTGGATCTACCTGTTGTATTAATTTAGATGGAATAAATGGGGCAAAGGTGTTAACACAACCTAGTCACTGTCCAACATTAAACAGTATTAAGTGAGGTCCAGGGTTTGATATACAGAGACCTCAGCCTGCTTAGCACCATGGCAAACACACCATTAAAAATCCTTTTAATAAAGATGAATAAAAGAACGAAAAACAGTTTCAGACTTTAACAGCAGCACCAGCAACAACAGCTCCAGTTCATCTGGACTAATTTCTTCTCTTTTCCCTCAAAGGACAGTTATTACCATATTTGAGCCCACCCAAGAGACTGCCAAACAAGGGTTGTTTTTTTTTTTTCCTTTCTAAAACTTTCTCCAGCTAAAGGGAAAGGGAACAAAGGATGTTGTTAAAATGAAAGCCTAATACTTTACCTTTCAAATGCTTTCACTGAGGATAGGGCACTGTCTACAGAGTCTGCTGCTTCCCTCAGGCTGCAGTTGTGACTGCAGAGTGGTAATATTTCCCTCAACTCTGTTACCAAGATCCCAGTATGTTCCCCCTGAGCATGTCCTGGCTCCACAGATTGCACAGGAAATGAAGACAAAATCTCTTCCCGAGCAGGAGAGCGCTCTCTGTAAGAGGAGAACAGGTGCATCTCTTAATTTTGTAGAGGGCTCTTACAACAGGAAAGGGGCACATTTGAAAGACAGTTAAAGAGAGCACCCTGATTAGGCAACTTCCTGTCTTAAGAGGCTGCCCCAAATATATTGAGTATAGCTCTGCTTTCTACCTCCTATATTGGAAGATTAGTTTGGGTGGTCCCTTAAGATAGCTTTCATTATGCTAGTACATAAGGAGGTGATGTATCTTTCTAAACTTAATAGCGCACTGAATTTTCACAATTTTATGCACATACTTATCAACTACATTGATAGAATAATCAGCAGTGAGACAAAAGGTATTATTTATATAATTATTTATCGTATTTTAATCTGTCTGAGTATGAGATGGTATTTTGAGTACAGGTGGTATTTTGATACTGAATAAGGTGTCATAGAAACAAATCTTTTTTTTTTTTACGAGAGCGAAAGGAAGAATTGTTCATCTGCAGCTCCTGCTATCACTCAGTCACATGCAGATACAGTCTAGACAAGCAAGCCATAGTCACCTCAGATAACTTCTATTCACTGGGAACCATTCCTAAAGTTACTTCATGAGCCTTATGATCATCCATTTTTTCAGCTTGTGCAAAAGGCAAACCTTCCATTTGTCCATATCCACTAATGCATAGATCCACCCAGCAGAGCTGACTTCCTCTTCCTGTGTAAGATCTTTGTGCTACCGTTGTGTCTTTCAAAAAACACCTCTCCCTCTGTCTGTTGAATTGCACTGGATATAATTTGGATGTGCAATTAAAATTGCACCAGGTATAACGAGGTTATGCTAGATACAGCTTTATGTCCAACTGCACTGTGTACTGTTGGGACAGTGGTAAGACATCCCACCTTTCCGTGTAATGAATTGAAGATATTTGAAATGAGTTTGCTCTCACTATCACACACAGACCAGCATAGCTGGATAAAGAATATAAGGCCAGACTCTGGCCTCTTCTGCATGCTGGTATAAAGAGTAATAGGGGTCCTCTTAATTCTTTGTGCCATAGTGCCACTTCAGTGCACAGAGCCAGTATGTTATTTCCCCCTCTCCCCAAAGAGGCTGGGAGGGAGCAAGGATGTGCCTGTCAGTGTATAGTTACACCAGCATATTGGAGAGGGTATGTTGTACTAAGTTCATGCTGCCACTCCCTCCCTGGAACAGAAGGCAGAATGACTCCCAAATCATGATCTCCCTTCTGGGCTATTTCAGGGGTAGCGGAATAAGATGCTGCTACTTACCCTGGGCAAATTGACAACCACGCCCATAATAAATAAGGTGGTGCTATGCAAATAGATAGGTTTGTGAATCCAGATGGATGTGGAGTAACCTAGCCTGAGACTCCAGCAACCTTTTTGTCATTGTTTTTTATTTCTTCTAATCAGGGGATTGGCCTTCCTACTAATTAGTTATTTTGCTTTTAACTTTCTCTTTCACCAAGTGACTCTGGAAAAGGGGTTGGCTGCTTATTTCCATTGTTTTAAATTCAGCGCGTGGGTATGATGTACAGTACCCTGACCTGTTGTGGCATAGTGTTATACCAATAAGTAATGTGTGTTAACTTTCACACAGCAATTCCATTTTCAGACTTTAGCTGTGATAATCATAGGGTTTTTATTCAACACTTTGCAGATAGCTCAGTATTTGAGAGAAGGCTTTAAATGAGGTCTGTTCTCCCATTGATGCCTAGGTGTAACTATCAGTAGGTGTGAGGGAATAACAGCCCATCATGTTTGTCCAGTGTTATCTTAACTACATGTCACAAGGTGCTTGTCCTAAGATAACTTCTTGGTGAAACTCATCTCCATTTTGTAACATATAATTCTCCTATACTTGTCTGTGACGTTAAGAAATTCCTACATGTCTGTGTTCCAGTATCCAATTTTTGTATTTTCCCTCCCCTAGGCAAATCTCAGGCTTGTTTCTTAGAGTTGATAAATATAAGAAGTGAGAATTGGCAGATTACTAACTCGGAAAAACAGTGAATTATTTATTTATTTGAGAACTACAGGGTGTAACTTCTAAAGATTTAGAACTCTGATAACTGGTGAAAGTTCATAGAAATACAAAGAGGGACCTGACCTCATTTCTCTCACAACTCATCCCACTCAAAGTTGCACAATTTATATTTACAGTGATTGATATAACTCAGATTTAACTTCATTAGAAGCTCTGGTTGGCTTAGGGTACTGGCAATGAAATATGGAACCTCCCATCTCTATCAGATGTTCAGTCCCAGGTTCATAATGACCAGAGGTTGTTACCATCAGTGATCCTCTCAGTGGATAACATGAAATTAGTTGACCTTAGTCCAGTTCCTAATGGACCGCTATCCCCATCATGACTGGTATGTTTGTTGCCAATCCAAGTAGAGATGTCATGGACTGAATAGGCATAAAGATGTGGTCCCTTCAGAAGAGGAGAGAGGCAGCGATAAATGCCAGTGTACTGCGTTGAGTGGCAGAGGGAGGTGTGTCTAGTGGGTGGGGGACAGGAGGGGCTTGTTTTAAGATCTTCACCATTATCTGGAATTTGGCATAAATTACATTTGAATGATATTCCCTTGTTATACTGAACTAGGTAAAGTTGCAGATACCTCTGAGGACTGAGAAATTATAAAAAGAAATCTGGAGAAATTGGCAGGGTGGGCAGAAAATAACTAACAAAATCAGATTCAGTTTGGAAGATAATACAAAGTTAGTTCTGGAAAGAAAGGATTTTCAGTGAGGGACTGAAACCTGGAAAACAGACCTACTGGTGATAGTGGAGAGCAAACAGAGAAATATAACAACAGGGAAGACCAAGGAACACAGTTTGGGGCTGCATAAGAAGAGACCTCAAGCAATAAGAGCAAGGGATGTAGGGGTTGATTTATGACGAGAGAAAGTTTAATGATTTTACTCAAGATACTGTATGCTCATTTAAGAGGGGAGTTGAATTGCTTAGAGCGGTCAAGAGGATAGGTCTGGGAGTAATGGGATGAATTTAATGGGGAAAACTGAAGTGGACTATTAGGAAAATCTTCCTGACATTGAGATGCATTAGGCTGTAGAAGTCTCCCAAAGGAAGTGGTGGAAGCTTCCATGCTGAGGGATATTAAAACTAGATTGGATAAAATTACTGTTGGGGGGGGGGGGTAATTTTCATTGGTGGGGAGATGAAAGAGACCTGGATTAAGTCTTGCAGTCCATGTCAAATGTAGGGTTCGTACTGACATTGCTGTATCTGTTGAGTGAATAGGCAGAACTTCTTCAAACATTCACTTTGGCAAACCCATTCTTCCCCCAAATAAAAATACTTCTGAAGAACAAATCCCTCATTTAGACTTTGTAATCAAAACAGCTACGTAAACTACCTTCTGTTGTGTTCCTTACTGCACATATGTGAAATGCTGCAAAACTTTTTTTTTTAATATTTCTAGAAATAGCTGAAAGAGAGAGGAAAGAAGCCCTTTCCGTGGCCCCTTCTACTGGAATCCAGACATAACAGTGGGGTGATCTTTCAGCAGAAACTCTTTTTTCAAGAGACATTCCTGCCATTATGAATGAAGTAGCAATAGTGAAGGAAGGATGGCTTCACAAGCGAGGTAAGTGTCTTTTCCTTCCCATTTAAAGGAACACTGTCTGTTTGGGTCAACCAACAAATTGGCTTGGTCTCACCTTTAACAGCATACCTTTAAATAGCTCTTCCTTATTTTTCTCCCTTAAAATCTGACCCTTCCTAATGGTAAATATACATAGGAAAGATATATGACTTTCCACAAGGCATGCAAGACTCTGTGAAATGTGTGTATTATGTTTTTCTCAGAAAACTCAGTATCTCCACCATTTGGTTAGAAAATTATGTTAATAGAAAAAAAGAGGCTCCTTAAAACAGAGAGTTGAAAGTTGGACTATTGCAAAGGTGGGACAATTTATTTTGTCTCTATGGCAGGGGTTCTCAAACTGGGGGTCACGAGGTTATTACATGGGGGGGTCGCGAGCTGCCAACCTCCACCCCAAGCCCCGCTTTGCCTCCAGCATTTATAACAGAGTCATAGACTTTAAGGTCAGAAGGGACCATTATGATCTTCTAGTCTGGCCTCCTGCACAACACAGGCCACAGAATCTCACCCACCCACTCCTGTAACAAACCCCTGACCTATGTCTGAGCTATTGAAGTCCTCAACTTGTGGTTTAATGGTGTTAAATGTATTAAAAAGTGTTTTTAATTTATAAGGGGGGGTAACACTCAGAGGCTTGCTATATGAAAAGGGTCACCAGTAAAAAAGTTTGAGAGCCACTGCTCTATGTAGATAATTTATCTGTAGCTGTTCTATCTATGAGCATGTGTGACCAGAAAATACAATTGTCTCAAGGTGAATCTTCATTTGGACAGCAAGGAATATAATGATTATTCGCTGTGCTATGATCCCACAGTAGATTTATTAGTGAATGCCCTCTTTGGTGGTTGTGTGTGTGTGTTTTTAAACCCTACCACTCATTGTACCCAAGACATGAGCAGTAGCATTAATTTTGCACACTCCATGTACATCTGTTTTAACACTGGTAAAATAAAACTTTATTAAAGTCCTTCTGTATGAGAGGTGGGGCAGAGAGAGCTGAAATATAACTGACCTAGTAATTACATGTCCTTCTATCCTGTTGCATTACTAGACATTTCCCCCACTCCCTGAAGGTCTTGCTAAGAATAAGTGAAATTTTACTGTATGCTTTTTTCCTTAGGAACAGTGTTGTTATGCTATCAGGTATTTGGCTTACCTGTTTCTTTGTACTGTACTATTGCTTCCTGGAAAGGAGAGAACAACATTAGGCGCTTTTCATAATCTCATCATTTGTTGTGGACAACAACAGATTTTGTATCCTCCAGCTTGCTGCTTCTGCAGACTCAGGATTTTTCTGGAAAGTTTGCAACAACGAAGTAATGTAACCTGAAGGTGCAAAGGTACAGAATAATTATTGGGGGAAGAAGATGGCATTCCTTATCATAACCTTGATAAAGGTTAAGGATTCTTCTGCAAGAATAAAATTGATAAAATCCATGTTATTAAAATAAAAGGAAAATTATTTTTTCTATACTCTGTTATACCCTTTAGTTTTCCATTCTCACCTGATGATTGGTCAGGAGAATTTGACATGGCCATATGAAAGTACCATAATTTTTTATTCAGTTTTGTTTCAGACAGCATTTATGTACCTACATGTCCCCTCTCTAGAGCTTAATGAAATGTATAACATCTTAATTCATGTCACTGGATAGTTCTGAAGAATCTAAACTACCTTTTGCAGTAAATATATTTGAGAGAGACATTTTGATTGGGTAAAACAAGGAAGGAAAAAATTACTTGCATTTCATTTTCCAGTTTAGGATCCTAGAAACTCTTTCAGTTAAAGGAACACTGTGGACTTAAATCACATTTCTGCATGAATATTTTTTTTATACCTAGTTACAGATAACAACTAACATGACTATAACTGAAAGAAGTTGGAGGGAAATGTGTATTTCGTGTGCGTGTGCACATTGACTGCACTTTGTCTATGCAGTTTTATTGTAGTCAGTCTTCCTCAGTTTGCGTGGGTCTTTCTCACAAGAATGGTGGGAGAAAGAGAAGCATGGTTGTAAATCCACAGACATTGTTCAAGGAGGATTCAAGGGCAGATGTAGTATCCAAAACTATTTTTATCTTTTTTTTTTTTAAAACAGCTTGACTAGATTTCAAGCTGACAATGACCCTCAATATTGAAAATTGAAATTTCTATGCTTCCTACGATAAAAAGATAAGCTGAACACAAGTACTGGTTCTTCGTACTTTGCAATATAGCTGGGGAGTGTCTTAGTTCTAGATTCTTTAATTGATTTCTAGATCCCTTTAGAGACACTTTATTGCCCTCCAGCACCAGAGATTATAATCTGTAATTGAATGTGACAAGACCACCTGCTGAGCACGTGTGTTGTAACTTTTTTTTTTTGTGGGGGGGGTAAATAGTAGTGCATACTGTGTATTTGAGATTCAGATTCAAATTTTGTGCTTGGAGTTTGCACATTCATCTTGATGTTTTGCATCCAAGTAAACCCCATTTATTTATCCTGGTTCCCCCACAGCTTTTCCCCTCTTTCTGTCCCGTCCTGATGCATACTCTGGCACCTATTTCTTTCCACTTCAGTGGTGAAACACAACTGGTAATGTTACTTCACTAACCTGCTGATGGGAGATTTCAGAAAGCGACGCAGTAGCCCCTTCTTTGCTTGCCAGGAGACCACATGTGCTAAGCTCCACTATATTCCGAGTTTCATTGGCAGCAGTGATGAGATCGGTTGACAACTGATTCACTTGCATGGAGGGAGAGAGGCTGGTCCATGAGTGTGGGTTTTTTGTTTGTTTTTTAAGTGACTTCACATCTACAATGCTTTGTTATAGATCTGCACTTGAAAAAGAGCAGATTAATTTGCTAGTTCTGTGAGGCTAAATGCTCCAGCCAGAGGATGTTTCCAAAACTGATGCCTGGTACTGTGAGCTTGTGAAAGAAGACATAAACAGTAATTACTGTAGGGAGGGACTACAAAGGGTGGATTACAGATATAGTAAACGTATACAGTTATGTCTTTTGAGTAACAAATAAAACTGAGATCCTGACTGCTTGCGGTCTTTAAAGAGCCCATGGTTCTTTTCACAAGTGTAATCAGTGTTAACCCCAGCTACTGGCCAAATGCCAGTTTGGGTAATTATGTTCTGCCTACCTTAAATTCCCTCCACAGTTTCAGTTGGATAAGGTATCTATTAGTTCCTGTCCTGCACAGTAGAACAGCATGGCTGTGTGCAGTTAAACAGTTGCTACATTTCACCCCAGCGGTGGCTGCGTTTCAGTGGTTGCAGTGATTTGTGTATGTGTAAATCAGTTTGCAAAGGGCTTTGGAGCCCTTCTGGATGGCAGGTGCTCTATATGCCATTATTATCTAGAGCAGGTGTTTTTGGCCTGGTTGAAATAGAAATAGCATGACTTTCTTGGGTAGCTTTCTTGCCTTTTTAGTTTTTGTTTCAAAGTCAAAAATATAAATGGAGAAATGAAATTCAACATCTTTTTCTGTGCATGTCTGATAGTTCCTGGCAGTCCCATGAGTCAGTCACTTAAAGGAAGTGCCGCTTCCAAGTAGTTCAGATGTTTATTTGTGGAGAGGCCAGTGGTATCTATCTCCATGACACTTCTAGCCTCAGCCAATCAGATGTATAAGAATTCATGAATGAACTCATTTTTTTTTTCAATTGGCAGCGCATAGCTCTGTAACCCTAATCAGGATGGAACAAGTGCTTGCTCATCAGCTATGCATATGAAAACAATAGTTAGAAACCCTGACCTCTCTTTGCAGGATTTCTTAATGCACATGTGGAAAACTTGGAGTGGAGAAACTTAGACTTTGTCATGTTTAGGGGTGTGTGTGTGTGTGTGCACATACAGTACATGATGTTACATTGGTAGAGGGACGAGACATTGGAGGCTAGGATTTTGTCTCGTGGCAAGGGATAAGGGGGGAATTAATCTGTATATGTCCCATGACCAGTGATTAAATAATATGTGGGAGGGAGGAGAAAATCATCTGCTCTGAATGCTTTTAGTTGTTGGAATTCAATGTTACTGTGTTTCTAAATGTATGTCAGTGGTACCCAGAGATTTGGATGGGTGCCCTTTTATGTGGAATTTCTTCTAGACTGAAGTAAATACCAGTCTCAAGGTCCTAATGATTTCCTTTTCCCATTTTCATTCATCTGTCCACACTAGTGGGTCCTCCCAATATCAACTCTCCATCCCTATATCTGCCTTTCCCAGGGTGTCCTATCTTCTGTCTCTCTTATTTAGATTCTAAACTCTTTGGAGAAAGGATTGTCTCTCTTGTATATAGTGTATACAGATGAGAATTTTGTCAGGGCTAAACAAGGAGATAAGAATCCTCATGAGAATCCCAAAGCAGTTACAACTTTACACAGGAATTTTGTCCACCAAAAGGTACCAAATGTGGTGGTGGTATTTTTAAACAGTGAACACAAGCACTGCACAGCAGTTAAGCCAGCAGGTATAGAACACCTTATCCAGCAGAAACGGCAGAAGGATTTTAGGCATGTAGACTGAAATTACCCTATTGTGTATCTGGCTGACCAACAGGCAGATATTACCAGAACTTTAATGACAAATGGCTTCCTGTCTTATCTGTAAGATAGTGCTTCCAGTAGCAAGATGCCTTCCACTGACACACTGGAGACTTGATTCTGCTTTGACATAGAGGGACCATTACTCCCTGTTGAATAACCAGTGTTCTTCAGACATCTCCAAGCCAGGTATTGACCTGTTGCCAACCTGATTATCTTGTGAGGTCTGTTGTAATCACAGCACAAGGTGACTGCAGGATATGCATAATTAGACCATTGGATTGTTGCACACTCCATTCACTGAGGCAGAGTAACATGGCCTAAAATACTTTAGCATTGTTACCCTGAGAGCCAGTCAATATTTTTAACTGTTCATCTATTAGTATCAATTGAACCAGGGTCACATGACCATGTTTCCCCCAATTGGCTTGTTTGGCAATCCCAGG